TTCACCTCTTTTCCACCATTTGCTAACGATTTTCCTGACCAAAATATATGAGAGCAGGTAGCGATACCTCTACATTGATCTGGTTTTCTTAATAATTTACTAGCATATAAAACACATTGGTTGCGTATTGGTTCCGCATTTTCTTCACAAAAACAACTCATTTGTTCGAATGTTGCAATAATTAATGTAATAGCTGCTAATTGTGCCTTAGAATCACTTATTTCATCTTCATATATTGAAAATGCTTGACTCATAAATTCATAAGCAACCATCTCAAAATTATCGAAACGAATTTCGCCTATTGCTATTGCACCTTGTAGAAATAGCCTTAATGGCAATTCGGCTAGTTCAGCCTTCATTAAAGCTGTAATTGTTGCATGACAAAATTGGAAGATTTTTTGACATTTTTTTTGCCACATTTCATCCTATAACAAAGAAAAACAATTAAGTCAACTTTTTGGAAATTATAACAAATTAATAATTTACTAACTTGATCCTTCAATCCTTTATATGTATAAGCTAATTGATAAGCCTGAAAAACAATTGGTGGTAAAGTATATTTTATTCTTTTATTTCCACCTGCACTAAAATGTTTTCTAGCAGCACTTAATATCATATATTGCTGATCAGCAGTTTCAGATTTAAAGTGATGAATCAGTCTACCAAGAAGACCTTGTTCTTCTGCAAAATCTTCAGGATCTTCTTCTATATTTGGTTGATCTAGTTGGTCTTGTACCAGTGGAGATACCATAGAAAGAACTGCATCTACTTGTTCTAAAGTCGGTATTAAAGTCTCATTTTCTAAAATATTTGTTATTATATAAATAGCTAATAACTTTCTGCCTTCATAATCAAAATAATCAAGTAGTGGGGCAAAATGTTCAAGTTTTAAAGCAGTTAATATGTTTTTATAATTATCTATTGGAATTTTCATTAGTCTCACTAACTCTCTTGATACAGCACTATTATACTCAAGTCTAAAAAAATTTATTAAATTTATTATATATTTATCTATATATAAAAATTTATACTTCATATTATATTATACATACTTATCTACATTCTGTTTTTGGAATATTTGAACAGTCGTTAATAAAACTTTATCCACATAATTTACTCTGTCAGGATAACACTTATGTGCTAAATTAATAAGAGCCACTTGAAGAGAAACTATATCTTCTGGAGGCATGTCTTGTCTTGTCTGTAAATAATAATCAAATATAATAAAAATTAAAAATAATTAAAAATTTAATAATTATAAAGAAAAATTCTCAGACTTAAACTATATAAATAAGGATAACTTGAATATTAATAAATATCAATCATTAGTATCAAATTTGTGCAGTATCTGATCATCATAGAAGTAAATTAAACAAAATTGAATTAATAGTGTATATTCTTTGTTTTATAAATCATACTAACTTGTATAATTATAGCTATTTGATCACTGAAAACATCAAAAAGTTTTACATCTTGTGGAATTCCTGGTATTTGATTAGGACTTCCTGGTCCTCCCACACCATCTGATCTTTGACTAAATGCTGCAAGACGATCTATTAACGAAATAATTATATTTTTTACATTCACACCATTTTGTAATTCAGCACAAGACTTTAAAAATGCATTTAATGTTTGTAGATGAAATTCATCAGGAAAAACCTAAATAAAAATACGAATATATTATTAATAATAATTTTTTTATTATAATTTAATATTTTAAATATTTATAATTAAAAAATTTATCTTTCATTTACTTGAATTATGCATTCCATAAGATATTCCTGAGCAATTGCATCTCTGCAACTAACTACTTGTTCTAAAATTCCTGGTAAAACAAGCTAAAAATGATTATTATTAGGTAATTATTCTGTAAAATTTTAATAAACTAAATATACAAAGATTAACCTTTTTATACTTCTCTAAAGTAACTGATTCCAACTGACTTAGTCGTACAAGATTAGTTCCTACTAAAATTCTAAGTTCTTCTCTTTCTCTTTCCCTTCTTTCTCTATCTCTGGTATGACCTTGATGCTGCATGCGTACCCATAATTTATTCATTTCTGCGAAATTCATCAAGACAAAATCTATACTGTCACGCACCTAGAGAAAAATACAAAGTATAAATTTGACTTTTTTACATATTGTTCATTTTTATACATACATTTCCATCTTCATCATCTTCTTCAGCAACATCTGGTAAAATATTACGGGTACATTGTAATAAGTAATTTCTTAAAAAAAGACCTCTTAAAGGATGTTGAACACCTCTACACATTTCTACTAAATCTCTTAGTAGATCCCTTTTTAAGCCAGGTGTTGTTTTGATATATACTAATCCTACTGTGATGAGTAAATATCTAAAAAAACAATATTAAATATTACAAAATTACAAGAATAATATATACATATTATCATGATATATTTATAATAAACTTACAATCTAGGCACAATATTTCCAACATATTGTACTAATTCATATAAATCTGTAACTTTTCTTCCTTTTTGAAATTCATCTAATAAATAAAGTTCTAAATGTCTTAGTTCATCAGTAATTGCCATGTCTAAAATTATATGTAAGAAAAAATAGAATTTATTATAAAAAAATTATTAAAAATATTTTATAAAACCTATATAGTTTTTTTTTAATTAAGGATACATAATTCATAATAACTCTTTGGACTTAAAAGAGAAGTTCTAAGTTCTCCTAACATTGTAGATGCATGTTTTAATGCATCCATTAATTTGGATTTATCCAGGCAATGTTTCATTTGGAAAGCCTGCACTTTGACTACACCAATTGCATCCTCAAGTAGTTTTTCTTGTTCTTCAACTCCCGTTATAGCAGGTGTCATTGGCTGTGAGAAAAATAAAGATACCTACCAGGAACACCAGGTAGTACCATGCTAGGTAAGCCACTCAATGCAAGCATGCACTATTTTATGCTTTTATGATAAAAAAGAAGCAAGGAGAGACTATTCTACCATATTATAATTATAAACTAACTAATTAATATTTATAAAAGGAAAATATTACATAAATTATGCAAAAAGCAAAAAAGTCCGTTCATGTTAAAATGTATTATAATAAATTATATAAAAGATTTTGCAATTAAAATATTTTTGATATATTATAATTTTCAATTCTTAATATAATATTGAATACAATACATTTTAAATTAAAATTAAAGGTTATAATTTTACTATAAAATGTGACTGAATAAAAAAAAAGTATTATTAAATCTTTTTTTTTGTATTCGGAAAAAATAAAAGAAATGTTAGATAGAAACTTTAAATATTCATTGAATTAAATATAAACATCAAAATTTTTACGATAATTAACCTTCATGATAGTAAAATAATTTAGTAAAAATAATTCTTTTAATTTCTGTTCAATTCATTTGGTGTACAATTAATTTTTTTTATAAGCAAGGATTTTACATGCTTTTTAAAATTAATTTTATATTTACCATTTTCTTTTTTTAAAAAACTGAACACTTGTTTTCTTCACTTGAAACACCTACCGTTGAAAGTGACGCGCTCTATACGATTACTTATTATATAT